AGGACATTAGGAGAAGGAAGGGAAAAATGGGCGGGGGGAATTGGAGGGAGAGATGAACCATGAGAGACTATGGACCTGAGAAACAAACAGGGTTTTAGAGGGGAGAGGGGAGGGGGGATTGGTTAGCCGGTGATGGGTATTAAGGAGGGCACGTACTGCATGGAGCACTGGGTGTTATATGAAAATAATGGATCGTGGATCACCACATCAAAAACTAATCATGTATGGTGACTAACATAACATAATAAAATTAAAAACTACAAAATAAATAAATAAATAAATAAATAAATAAATGTCTATTTCCTTAACCATAAACTAGTAATAAAGATAATTTATCTCTGTGAGTCATGAAGATCACATATACAAGAAGCACTTTGTAAATTGTAAAGTGCTGTCCAAATGTTAGTTACAATTATTAATTACTGACAAGGGGGCCCTACCTTTTCTCTCCATAAAAGTCCTAATTTGAAACTTCCCTCAACCTTTCTCTTTCCTTTCTTCTTTTCCTATGTAGGACGTAGAAGAACAACTCCACTAACCTGTTCGTAGAAAATTCATCTCTGACATCAAGCTTTCAAACTTTGAATGAAAGGAAAGCAGTGTCATAAATGGTGGTTAGATTCTAGTTAGCAATGGAAGGTATGGTTTCATTACGGTTGAACAGGCTTTTATAAGCCAAGCTGTTAATTCATTACAATCAACTGATAAAGGAACTTAAAACACCATCCTAACTGGTGAACACCTGCATTGCACTTTCTTTTTCAAACCACAGCAGAACGGGAGTTCAGAAATGAAGAAGTCAAGGCTGATAGACAAGAGACTGAGTCTCTTAAGGTCTTCCAAAGTCCTATAAAGAACTTGAAACCTTAAATGTCTGGGAATTCTCACTGAGCCTCAGAAAGAACACTGCTGTGTCCTAAGGAACTCTGTATTCCATACGCTAGAATCTGGCTATGGGCTCAACTCATCCCATTCTGTTGTTCTGAACTCTATCAATAGGGCATCCCCAGACCACAAAGTCTCCTTAGAATGACATAATTAGACCCATCAGGTATATCACTTCCTTATAACACTAAGTATAAAGACTCCCTATTACTTGACATGGCAAATAAAAAACCCACTATTCTAATCTTTCTATCAGTTTCCCCATTTCATTTCTCCTCTACTCTAGATAGACACCCCACATCTGTGTTCTTCATCCCACAGCACGTGACAGCCTATCCATTTCTGCCTTCTGACTCTATCCAGGCTGTTCTTCCTACATTTTGCCACCAAAACTGATCTTGAAACTTTTCCACCAGGAAGTTTTAAAAAGATGGAATTTTCTACCTGCTGCTCACTGCATATTTAATTACTCTATCTTGTAACATTATATAGGAGTTTGGACTTGTCCATGTATTACTGTGAAAGGTAAGGTACTACTCTGGTGCCAGGTTTTAAGTCTAAGGCCAGAGCTCAAGTCCTAATTTTGCCTTTTGGTTCACTTAATACCCTTGAACCATGCTGAGATAAAACCTACACTTCACAATTTGTTGACTGATAGGTAAAGAGGTGGCACATCAAAGCATAATACAGAGGTATTTTACATTTTTTCCCTGTGATGTTTAAGGCAAGGTTCTGACATAAAGCACATGTTTACTAAATATTAATGCCCCACTATCATGCCATTAGGCCAAAGACTATTTTGCCTCCCTTCACCCTCCCCCCACTTTTTTTTTTTTTTTTTAAGGATACAATCTTACACTAGTTTGTTTCTCAAAGAAGAAGAGAGGAGAGTCTGGGCTGCCTCTCCCATCTATCTATCTGCCAGCTTTCCCCAAATATCCCTTTTAAGTAAAGTCAGGTTTAGGTGCTTGGTTAAGTTCAATTTAACACTGTGTGGCAGAGGCAATGTAAGTGTTCATTAAACCCCATTTCCTTTTCTACCAGGCACAAGCATTTTACTTCCCGGCCACCCCTGCAGTTAGGTGGGACAATGTGACTACACACCTGAATTCAGACTAAGGGAATGGGGTGAAAATGATGTACTCCACTTCCAAGGCTGGCCCCTGTGGTATCTCCAACAAGTCCACCACGGCTCTCCTCCCTTACCTAAGGCACATAGATTGGATGATTCCAAGGCAACCAGTGATGGTGGAGTCACAAGATAAAAGCCATGTCCTTCCATGATTGCAAGGAACAGACAGCCCACCCACTGGCCCCAGTTAACCCACTATACACTGACTTGTATGAAACATAAGCCTTTATTGTGTTAAACCGCTGAGATACTGGTTTCATTAGCCTACCCTAGTTAACATACCTTGTATTTATCAACAGTGGTAACATAAATGAAAAGAACCCCTAGACTTAGTTCCAGGACCTGAGATATAAATCCTGGCTGTACCACTCCCCCCACATATCCTATGATTGGATCCTATAGAATATGCTCTATACCCTTTCCCAATTACATGTCTAGCACATTCTCTTCTTTCTCATTATGAAGCCCTCTCCACTCTCCTCTGCCTCAAGACTTCTGTGAGGCATTCTCTGATTTCCCTCCCATACATTTATATTTCTTTGTTCCTAGTGCAGAGTATATTCCTCCATTTTAGCATCTCCTTCATTTGATTGCAAATATTTGTTGACTTGAGTTTCCAAAGACTGAGTCCTTGAATCCACGGTTAATTCCTTTGGGATCTCTGACTGCCAGCATTTAGTTATAGCGCCTGGCAAAAAAATAAATTTTTATTAAAGGAATGATTGTCACCTATGACCTTAAGTGAGTCACTTATTTTTTAAGTCTATAAAATTTTACAGAATTGTTGTGATAATGAAATAATGTGATTTGTAGATTATAAACAGATTTGTGGTTTATTCTGTTTTGTAGTCCCTTCTCATCTTTTTCAGTCAAATTTATCTTAATGCTTCATTCAAGGTAGCTCTGTCAATAGAAAAATAACGCAAGCGACATATATAATTTAATAATTTCAGTAGCCATACTTAAAAAGTGAAAAGAAGTAGGTGGAATTAGTTTTAATAATGTATTTAACCCTATATATGCCAAATACAGCTTATTAGCTCTTCGACATTTTGTTAATTCATCTACATCTGGTGTGCGTGTTACAACACATCTCTGGACTAGCCACACCGCGAGCACTCAGCAGCCACATGGGGCTAGTGGCTCCCGCAACCCGGACAATGCGGCTACAAGGCCTGCTTGAGAGAGCACAGTCTCGGTGAAGTCAACCTGACTATCTCTCAAGCGGAACGAGTGACTCCTCCTCAGTGCTCTCTCAAGCCCCCTATCCTTGCTGTCTTGAAACCTAGAAGTCAGTCAAGCTTTTCGAGGAATTCCGGACTGTTGCCGGGGAATTCGCTCTCACAGCGATTGTCTGGCATATAACGCGCGGTTATTAAATGTCGGGGTAATTAATGATCCCGTGTGCAAAGAACCCCATGGGAGGCCGAGGGGCCGGGACCGAAAATGGTCAGTCAGGGAGCGGGCGCGGGCGGGCGGCCACCCTAGGCGGGACCCCGATGCCTGGGCCCGCGGCGTCCTCAGGCGGGCGTGCGCCGAGATCCGGGGCTCCGCG